TTTAGTCATGGACATTCCCATAAACATACAGCAGAGATTTCTGGACAGACCATTTAAAGAGCGTAACTTTTTCACTTTATGTAGTGGAATTCTGCATTTTTCTTAGCTGGAAACTGTATAAAACGCAGAAAATCAGAAGCTAAGAACTGATTATCATACACAGGACATTTTTGTTGCAGATTCTCATCTGTTTACATGTATTTACACATATATTGACCACCTATAGATGTGAAGGTACAAAGCTGATGTAGCTAAGGCAATTGGACATGAATTGTATGATTGATTGCCAAGTTGTCTATCTAGGCAGGGCTATGAAGGGGTAAAAGAAGTGGGTCAGGAGGGTACAGACCTCAGCCTGCTGGGCTTCAGCAGACAAGATCTGAAGTTGGTTTTACAGTTCAAAGACACTTGGGCTATTGGCAATGTATGTTTTAAATGCATGTGTTAAAATAAATATCATTACCAAAGATCTTGCTAGAATATCTACTTTCCAATAGTGAATATTTAGCAGATGACATTATAAGGATGCTGATTTGTAAAATGTACACCAAAATGTTCATTCATGAAAACTAACGTTGACACAATATTAATTAAATGCTTCTAGAAAACACTTCTGAACTTTCAGTAGTCTGGACGATGGCAATACACGTAGAAACAAAGCTATAATTTGCTATTTCGTTCAGAGTGACGCCATCAAATCCATGCAAGATGAATTTGATATTTCTGTTCAACTTTCTGTCAACATTTTTACTTAGCAAACTTTATAATCCCAGACAGAATCGGGAAACATAGACGGGATTATTGCTCTGTGTGTGTAGAAGTGAAATCGATTTGCAAAGACAAAGCAGAAGTGCAAAGGTTTTGGAGCATCCAGCCGAGTGCTAGAAAACGCTAGCGAAAGAAAGTAACAATAACCACACAGCAGGAGGGGCAACTCCGTGGTCAGCTGCCTCCCTGGCACGTGGTCTTCTAGAACTCGAGGCTACTCACGCAGTGGGGTCTTTCCTCTCTCCTCACATCACCCTGCTCATGGATGGGATCCCATGGGGGAGAGCCCAGCTGGGAAGCTGCTGCCCCTCTGAAGCAGGAGCCCTCTGGACAACTGTGGAGCAAGGGACCAGCCTGGGCAGGGTGGCAGCGGGCTTCCCTCTCTCCATGGAGTGGAGATGCAGGAGCAACGTCCAGACCCAGGGGAGGAGGCACTGGGCACTACCCTACCCCCGCCAGTTCCCCATTCTTGTTACCATCACCTGGATGGTCACTTGAAAGGCAGAGGCTGGAAAAGCCTCCCTGTCCTACCAGCAAAGAGGAGACAAGCCCCCAGTGGATGACTTAACGACTGAAAGGAAGGGTTTTATTTCAAATCAGTGGGTTAAGTGGTAAAGGCTTGGAGGCCTCTTGGCACACGTGGCCTGCCCTGGACTTGGAGCCCGGAGACCAGGCGCATCTGTCAGCTAGGGGCTTGGGTCTTATACCCTGTGATTGGTCCAGACCATCTGTGCCTTTACAAAGTAAGAAGCCAAAGGTGAAGCCCCACTTGCTTCAAAAATTAACTGAAAATACAGTGTGACCAGGTCCAGCTTCACGGGTGTCCAAGCTGTGCAGTCACATGGCACCCTGTGCTTAAGGGGGCCTGCTCTTGGTTTAATTCTCTGCTATCATCACGTCAAAATTCTTCATAATTTTGAACAAGGGGCCTCACACTTTCATTTTGCACTCAGCTCACAAATTATGTAGCGGGTCCTGAGTGTGACACTGGGAGGGTCAGACCAACCTGTTTTCCTGTTCAATCCACATATCCACTCATTCCTCCCGGTGCACATGCAAACATACACACACACACACACACACACACACACACACACACACACACACACCCTATGCAATGATCTGCATGGCCCCAACAGTCCCTTTACATCCGAAAACCCAGAAGTCATAGTCTCCAAGTAGAGACTCTGCTATCCAATCCAAGCAGAGGGGACCTTACTTCTAGCACCCTTCTTGGGGAGAGGGAGCCTCACCCAGTGCACCCACCCCGCGTCAGCCCAGCAGTGGGGGGACACCTCCGACTTGCAACTAAGGCCCCTGCTGGGATGAATCTCAGGGGCCTTCATCAAAGCAGATGCAGAAAAGGCAGGAAGGCTAAGAACCCCTTATAGCCCCAACCCCAGCAGGAGAGAAAGGCAAGGTGTCACCAGGTACCCCAGGGGTGCTGGGTTCGAGTCTCACGCCCGCTTCTAACCCTTCCCCCACCCCTTCCGTCTCAGACCCAGCAAGTTCGTTCCGTGATTTACACGAGAGCAATGCCCGGGAGCTTCAGTAGGTGGAGCCAGCGCCCAGGGATCCGCCAGTGGGACCTGCAAGTTTCCATCGGGGAGCTCTCCCCCTAGCGGTGACAGTGGGTATAACGGCAGCTGCTGGTTCCTCAACCAGGCACTGCAAAGACTCCACCAGCACCCACCCCTTCTCTGGCTCCTGCATCACCCTCTTTGCTCCAGGCCCCATTCTGTTTAGACAGAGAAATGGGAGGAAATAAGGGGTTTGAGTATGAGAGGAAAAACGCAAAGGAACATAGCTTTAGGAACACTGCCGCATAGGAATGTTAGTCTTTTCAATGAAAAAAGTACAAAACCAGAGTTCCTAGAAGAAAAATATGCATTCTTTCCACTGCATAAAAAGAAACCCTGGTTACTGGATAATCCTCAGTAAATATCAGAGAAACGTTCAACTTTTTTCAAGGCTGACCACGTAAGCCCACTTCTGAACAGTTTACTTGGTGGGCTTTGAATCCTAAAATATTCACTCCCTTCAGATGGTTTTAACAATGTAGGCTGGTATACAAAGTAGAACAAAATCTTATTAAAAAATGACTCACAAAACGTCCTGACATACACTAGGGGCAAATTTATCCTGAAATATGACAACCACACATAGTGATGAACAAGTTATTATGTGGGTGTTTTCTGGTTCCCCGAGGCCAGATTAAAGAGGGTTCCTTTCAGTGGAGGAACTGACTGAAGCTGCATGTCACTGAAATAATTATTTGGAGGTGGAGATGAATTTTTACAAGCACTGGCTGTTATCCAAATGACTTAAAGTTAGATCTACAACTGGTCTGTGAAAGCCACAAAGGCAGGCCCCTCTTCACCACCTCCCAGCCCCTCGGATGGTGTTTGGGTCCAGAAGGGGGACTCTCTGAATGAACAGCGTGCTATTAACAGTGCTGACTGTGTTACTGAGAGACCACAACCCAGAGATGGGACTTTCCAACTGTTGGCATCTGGGTTTTAATGCTTCCAAGATAGGGAGCTATTAGAAGTTTTCTATCTTTCATGTGGCGTGAGTTTTCCATGCTTATCAGGAATAGATTTTGGTTCCTAAAGATAGCAGGTTATGTACCTTAGCTGAGCCTGGTGACCTACAAACATATCCTGGAACTGACACAATGCAGGGTGAAGAAATGGGAGTTCTAGAAGGTTCCTTTCCTCTAGCTCAAATAAACAGCTGCTTTCCAAGTGCAATAAACATCCCAACCATATTGACACAATACTAAGTGGCCCCCATAAAACATGGCTCAGGGCACTGCCAGCTGAGTCTTGGCATCGGATCTGAGCCATTCCCTGCAGTCAGGAGAAGCCCCTGAGTGCAAAGAGAAGGCGGTATTAGTTTTACCAGATACCCCTTAGGGTGGCTCAGACCACAGCATCTGAGGGCTTCAGCGTGTCACTGATTCACTGATTATGCTTCCACCTGGTAGGAATTAAAGTTCTAATCCTAAAAAGCAAACAAGAATATCCAGCCTCATCTGTTGTCATCACCTCACGTTCTGCACAGGAGGTTCTGAACTTTCAAAGCAAGTGCATCTGGAGCAGGCAGACCCAATGCTAACCTCACACTAACTTCAAGTCTGAAATTACCCTGCCACCTCTAAAGTATGCAGGCGTCCATTTCAAAGTGCTAGTGTCCTCTGTAAAGCTCATCTCCAGCCTCAGGGAGAAGGGAGAATGCAGTGAATTGAAATAAAATGAAAAACTACTTGCTGTTCCCAATGGAAATTCTTAAAATCTTTACATACACAAAACAAACATTCTTCTTGCGAATCAAAAAGGCCCAACCAACTAGGAAAAAAATTATTTGGAGTAGAGACAGAGAAGCCTTTTTCTGCTCATACAAAGTACTGGCAAACACTAAAACAGACTCCAAGGATCTCCTTTTAAATAGAACCAGAAGACTTCATTCACGCCCCTTTGTTCTCCAGTCCCATCAGATTCTAGAATGCCCCTGTTCTGTTGTGGTCAGTGGCTTTACGCTTGCACCAGCCAACTCCTGGAGAGACAGGAGTTTGGGGTACCAGGTCACCGAGACAATGCAAGTGATCAATTTATCCATTTTCCGATGGAATTTTTTTTCCAACTAAATTCACTGCCACTCAACCAGCTGAAATCAGTTACTTTCATAGACTTAGGTCATGCTTAAATTGTTCAAAAACCAAAGAGGAAAAGAATGATCCTTTTAACATGAACGTTCTTTGGGAGCATAGCTCTCTCCTCTGCCATCAGAGGTCAGGGTCATGTAGGAAGCCTGGTCCCAGTTTCTCAAGCATTCGTGGAGACTCCAGCCTAGAAAGGTCTCTCTCTGTGTGTCAGGCCAGCCCTGGGTCTGAATGAAGCCCAGGGCACAGCCCTGTGAGCAGAAAGGCCCCTGGCTGGGCTTAGAGGAGGTCAGCGCAGCTCAGAGAAAAGGGAAGCTTGTGGGGGTGTCTAGAGGGCTGGGGTCGGAATGCCAGGAGGTAGTGGCCTGGAGAAACCCTGTGTTTCAAAAGCAAAGAGCTAGGGCTTCCCTGGTGGCACAGTGGTTGAGAGTCCGCCTGCCGATGCAGGGGACGCGGGGTTGTGCCCCGGTCCGGGAAGATCCCACATGCCGCAAAGCGGCTGGGCCCGTGAGCCATGGCCGCTGAGCTTGCGCGTCCGGAGCCTGTGCTCCGCAATGGGAGAAGCCACAGCAGTGAGAGGCCCGCGTACCGTAAAAAAAAAAAAAGCAAAGAGCTAGGAGATAGAAAGTTATTGGCAATGGACATTTCATCTCTATGAAACACAGCCCAGGCAGCCCAAAAGGTAGAAGGGAAGGACTAGAGGTCAAAGAATTTGAGACTCCACGCATCACCCACATTCCTGTATCTCACACATGACTCACGAGTCACACCTGGATCTGAGGGCCAGCCTAACTCATCCATAAGGAGGATCAGTCACCTCACAAATTACCCCAGTGAGTACAAAGGACAGAACTGCTACCCTGGAGGAGCATCTAAAGGATGCTCAGTATAGTCACTTGGGAAAAAAATTCACATATTGCTTCTTCATGCTACATTAATTCCGATAATGGGACTCTGTGGGTGGGGGACCTGGTGGACCTAAAAAGGTGACAAGATGTTTGTCATTGAGCACATCACATCCTCCCTACATGAACCGAGATGCCCGGCATTCACACGCAAAGAAACCCGATGAAGAAAAGGGAGAACAGAAAGAAAGGGATTGGAATGGTGACCCAATATGACCCCATTTACACAGGTAACCCTTCTTTTTCTACCATAGTAATATGTCCTTCTTCAGAAGTACACTGAACAAACTGTATTTGTTATAGAATAGGAAAGCATGATTGGCAGGTCTATTCATAGATTTAATTTAAAACAGTTTCCTAACAACATCAAAAAATATAAACTTAAAGTATTTGAACCATGTCTGCTGCTGGAAAGTGGTAAACGAATGCATGCTTGAAGTTGAACCTGGTCTCTAAGGTCTTCAGTTGAGAGTTTCTAACTAAAGGGTATATCTGCTTGCTTCAAAAAATACTTATGTCTGTTGTTCTTGATACAAAAGTCTACACTATCTTTAATAAATAAATAATAGAGTGTTTCTTAAAAGTATGAAATGTAAACTTTGTTGCCTTTTCTGACACACACATTTTAAAAATCGCTTGAACAATGACAGGGCTCTTATGGGAAAGGATGACATGACATATTCAGTTCCCAGCAAAGTGGGTAGTTCACTCTGCCACTAGGTTGATGCTATCTTCAAAAAGTGTTTCTACAACCCTAATCAAATTCTAAGGACCTGCAATCAAAGAGAACACCATCTCACACAGGAAAGCTAGATTCCAGGACCGAGAGAACGCGCAAAGAACATTAGATGAAAACGACAAACTGGGATTATGAGAACATTATCATGCAAACAAAATACGGCCCACGCTTTTCATTAGCGAATCAAGTTCTTATGTGGTTAAGCAGCCTATCTCCTGGCATTTAAGGAGAGAAACTCAAAGAGCACAAGCCAGACTTGGCACGTGTTCATACACTCCTGACTCTGTCAAGGCGCCATGTATTTTTCCATTACTGAGAGGTTGCTTGTGTTACAGCAGGGTTTGGGAAGGAGTCTCAGGTCTTCTTCCCTGGAACTGAGGGGCTTCCATGCTTCTCGGGTCTCTCCCCCACCACGTAATAGATTTCCTCCACAGATTGTCATTTTTCCTTCTCACACCTTGGGGATGCCTTTGGGGGGAACGTACCAAAGACATCTGCAGAAATTTCCCATGATAATCAGGCAAGAGTAGGCTCAGATCTGGTCACCAACAACTACTCTTGTGAAACATCACAGGACCTCCAAGCCAAGAGAGCATTTTCCAACCGGGCTGGCAACCAGGACCCCATAATGTCGGAAAGTAGCCTTTCAGGTGACCTGCAGTGATCTAATCCAGCAGAGTATAACTTGGTAGGTAACAACCTTCCTTAACCACCTTCCAAGTGTGCTGGAAATCAGAACCAGATCACCTGATAGGAGCCAGTGATGGTTTTCATTGACATCTAGCAATAAAAGACCTGGAGGAGACTGGAAATGCTCTAACAGCACAACTGCTGGAATCTTCCATGGACCAGCTCTTCAAAGAGCTAGACCAGTGTCTGATCAGGCAACCGTCTCCCGAGTGATCAGATGCAGGGGAGCATTTCAAATAGGGTCCCAGTGGGAGAATGAGATTCTGAAGCAATAACAAGATCATCATGATTATTTCTAAACACACCAAGGACTCGGCATCATAGGTCAGGGGGCCTACCTGGAGGCTGGTGGAGGTAAGAAACAGGAGGATTACATGAGTTCTCCAAACATACAGACATGGCATTTATAAATCTATTTTACAGTAACCAGACCCAAGCCTCAGGCCCAGGCATGGGTCAGACTCCCAACTGAACGTAGCTGGGGGCGATGGGATTTCAAAGACCCTGGAAGCCATGATGAGCCCTGCAGCGAAAACAAAGGAAAACACAGTTTTGCTTCACAAAATGGGAAATTGTTTAGGGGGAAGGATTGTCAAGAAGTATTCCCAGAAGCTTTGAGGGTCCTGTCTTTGCCGTCCTGTTGCCCTGTGGCTGAACACCAAACAGTGGTCCTCGAAAAGCAACACCATTTCCAGACAGCACCTGCTGCCTCAGGCTGGAGCTCTGCCAAGCACACCCTGGGCCGGCTCCCTAAGGCTCATCAAACAACTGCAGGTCCAAGCGGACCACGATCTCTCCCGTGGGAACTTCATGCAGCAGGAGACACTTTGTAACTGGACCCTTGGAACCCTGGTCCTTCTTGATGTCAGCCACGCGGATCTCCGTCCGACCCAAAAAATCTGAAAGGAGAAACACACAGACCCTCCTCAGAGAGGATGCCTTCTCTTCAAGGCAGGTACTTGGCATATTGGGAGTGTCCCAGTAAATTGTTATACTCTTCCTTCTTCCAAAAGGGAATTAGGTCAGTTTCTGAGAATTCAGGGACTACAATGACAGCATAATTTTTATTTTCTTAATTTTTTAAAATAAATTTATTTATTTTATTTATTTATTTTTGACCCCATTGGGTCTTTGTTGCTGCGTGCGGGCCCTTTCCAGTTGCGGTGAGCGGGGGCTACTCCTCGTTGCAGTGCAGGGTCTTCTCATTGCAGTGGCTTCTCTTGTAGCAGAGCACGGGCTCTAGGCGCACGGGCTTCAGTAGTTGTGGCATGCAAGCTCGGTAGTTGTGGCTCGGGGGCCCTAGAGCACAGGCTCAGTAGTTGTGGCACATGGACTTAGATGCTCCGCGGCATGTGGGATCTTCCCGGACCAGGGCTTGAACCCTTGTCCCCTGCATTGGCAGGCGGATTCTTAACCACTGCACCACTAGGGAAGCCCAGCATCATTTCTGAATGAAGTGAAAACAAAAAGGTACCAGGATGGGGATGAAGGAGAGCCCAGAAGGAGCTCAAAACACAGACTTTCCTCACACTCGAGGACCCCCAAAGGGCTATGAGCTTCCTGGGAGGCAATGCAGAACCAGATGTCCTATCTGCTGAGCAATTTGCAACTTACATGAAATTTAAAGAAATTGCCCAGAAGAAAGTCAGCTATTTCTGGGACAAAAATTGGACAGTAGTTTCTCCCAGGGGTTGACCCAGGAACATGCTTCGCGATGTTACACTCCTTTTCGAAAAGCCAAGGATGGTGAACAAGGGCTGGTCCTTATAATGCACCACTGTAAGTGCCAGAGAGCAAACTCGAGGGGGTGGGGAGGAGGTGACAGCACGGGAGCTGCGTGCTTCCAGCCATGCTCCCAGGACTATCTCAACACCACTTTTTATCAAATATTGAGTCAGTATGAGAATGGACGTGAGCGTGTTTGAAACTATTTTTGACGCTGTGCAAATGCACAATGGTGTTAAACGGGCCTCCAGACCATTAACTCCTTCATTTTTTCATTCAATGATTAGTTTTTGGAATATACTATGATCCAGGAACACTTGTACAGGAAACAGCTTTTCTTTCAACGGTTAAAACCTGGGAATTTTTTCTGGTGGAAGATACTGGATTATTTTTCCCCTTGTGCATTTCATGGAAATGATCTTTGAAGTAAGAACAATACTAGGATTTGCAATTTAAACTCTAGTGGAGCTGCCATTGTGTCGTGGTATTTCACTACTAAAATAAATCCAACCTCAAGCCTTTATTTATCAGAATAAAAACTGCCAATGAGGGACTTCCCTGGTAGCTCAGTGGTTGAGCATCCACCTGCCAATGCAGGGGACACGGGTTCAATCCCTGCTCCAGGAAGGTCCCACGTGCCGCGGAGCAACTAAGCCTGTGTACAACAAGTACTGAGCCTGCGCTCTAGAGCCCGTAAGCCACAACTAGCGAGCACGCTCGCTGCAACTAGAGAAAGCATGTGCGCAGCATGGAAGACCCAACACAGCCAAAAATAAATAAAATAAATAAATTTAAAACCAAATTGCCATTGAAACACAGTGCTTCAGAGCCCAGACTTATGAGTCAGATTGGTCTGGTCATGCTCTAACATTTAGCCTGCTATGTGACCATCTCTGGGCAACAATTAATAGTAACTAACTCACAACGAGATAATTCATATAAAAGTACGAAAAGACAAAAGCCACGTGGAGCAATTTAAGCCTTGCACAGATCATGCCTGCACTGGATCCTCACTCCTAGCACTTAATTTTACTCCTTTGAATATAATTAAGTTGAGACCGCAATCTTTAAACTTACTCTCTTATTTTGGGTCAAGGAAGGGAGAGAGAAGTTTCTCAGAATCATTGCCAGTCCCATTTTTTTTTTCCAGGCTCAAGCAGAAACAGAAAGTTGGTTGAAGGGATGATACATCCAACACAATCCCATCCCTTTAATTAACCAGAAATGTCACCCAAAGGGCACTGATCGATTCTGCCACGTTTTTTGTGGGCTAATGTTCTTCTTGCTCTACTGGCTAGTTTTATGAATTTTCTCCATAGCTTTTAGCCAAGGACTAAAGAATTGGGTGGAGGCTTTGTGGTATAGCTCTCTCTGCATTTACTTGCTTTGGGGAAGCACAGGACCATGGTCTTTGTCTAGGGCAGCTGGACCACTCTAGACCAAGCATGCTTTGTCCACCTTCTCTGAGACAACCTGGCATCAGTGAAGGCCTCTTTCCAAGGGATGCTGAGTCTTGTCTAATGCCAACCTCATCTTTCTGGCAGGAAGCACAAGAAATTCTGGGCACCAAGTTCCCAGGTAGAAAATATTTATCCATGAAAGCCAAGTGACAGCGAAAGGGGAAGCGTGCCTCGGGGCCGCTTTTTACTCACCGTCTGGAGAGAACTGGTCCCTCTCGAACACGGTGATGCAGAGGACCTCCTGCTCCAGGTCTTTGATGAAGAACTGGCAGTTGGAATTCCACTTGGGATTCAGAGTGTCCTGGATTGTCTTGGTGATGTGACACTGGGAGCCCATGGTCACCTCGCAGTACGGGTTACTCTTTCCTAGAGGGAACAGAGCCTGCTTGACTCCCGCCTGCTACCCAGCTCTTCTGGGTGAGCGTGGCGGGGTCACAGTCATGTGGCAGCTGTTCCCGCTACACCCCTCATTTTGATCTCACTACAATGCCATACTTAATAAGCTGCATAAAATGGAGAATCCAGGCGGAAACTCACACAATCCAGCATCATACTTAAAGTATACTACTTAAATATTCATAATACTTAAATAATTACATTAGTGGGCTTCAAAACTAAGCCTTTCCTGTCTCCTCACTTTAGCCCTAGATTGTGTCAAAACCACAGTCATCCCTCAGTATCCACGGGGACTGGTTCCAGAACCCTCCACAAATACCCAAATGCTCAGATACTCAAGTCCCTTAGATAAAATGGTATAGGCTTTGCTACCCACATCCTCCCATATACTTTAAATCACCTCTAGATTACATGTAATAACCTAATACAATGTAACTGCTATGTAAAGCATTGCCAGTGTGTGGCAAATTCAAGTTTTGCTTTTTGGAAATTTTTCAAATTTTCTTCGAATATTTTCGATCAGCAGTTGGTTGAATCCGCAGGTGCAGAACCTGCAGATACAGAGGGGTTGACTGTATTGTGAAAGGGCAGCCACTCAGATCTTTCTCGAAAGCAAAATGGTGGAAAAGAATTAAAGAAAAAAATTTTTTAACAAGTGCTACAAAAACCAAGTCTGGAAGGAAATTGAGGATTATGGAAACAGCACATTTGTTTTAAAGCCAGGTGGAGGGGATGCAGAAAAGGCTTCCACCACTAATATGTGATAGAGGGGGCCTCTTGGGTCCTTACCGTGTGACCGACAGGGTTTCAGTTCAATGCCCTCAACCACGTTCACCATCAACCTTCCAATGCCTGTGGCCCTTTGGGAACGGACTATGACGGCAAGAGAAACAACACAAAATGCTCCCGTTTAGGATCTGCTGCCTTTCTGGTTTGCCTCATGATCTGTCTTATGCTCCCCTGCAAGAACAATTCCCCACCCCTACTCCACCTTGAATTCTCGCTTCCTTGATCCTGGAATCTGCTCTCCACCCCTCACCCTGCACCCCCGCTCTCCCTCTTCTGCCTGCCTGCCCCCTCAGGCTCTCCCCTACCCCCAGGCCCATCTTCCAGCTCTAAGGGTTCTAGGCACAACCAAACGGCTCTCTGCCGCCACTCTGCAGGATCCCGGGCCCCTCTGCTCAGCGATGTATTTACCCAGGTACGCCTTCTCCCGCTTCTTCTTCTCCGTCTCTATGTAGAGTTCAGAAGCAGCTTTGATTTTCTGCACCCAGGCGGTCCTTGGAAAGGGAGAGACAGAACGGTGCCAAACAGAACTCAGGCTTCAGGTCTGTACAAATTCAGTTTCTAGGACTCTGCCTTGTTCGTTTGATTTTTACAACAAAGGCTCAGCAAAGAAAGTCTGGTTTTATGTCACATGGTGCTAATCATGATTTCTACCATGCACAACAAAGGCACGAGTGATATTTTTACTGATGTACTCAAGACCTGAGTTTGCGTCCCCAGGGAAGAAAATCTATGATGATAAATGCTGCCCTGGAGGAGATGTTGGCAACAACTCCTCTTCCTTCCTTCTTGAAAAGCAACACATATTTGCCTAATCCAATAAGGCCAGAAGGATTTCTCTTACTAAACCATCCAAGGAAAGAAACCATTTCCCAGATAAGGAACCACTTTCCGTGAAAGAGCACACACACGCTGGGGAAAGCATCTTGGCTTTCCCCAACATCTTGGCGTGATGTTTTCACCTTCCTTTTCCTGAGAAGCATATGCATGACAACTTTAGCCAATTTCCTGCTTTTTGGCACAAATGCTCTTGGAATGCTGTAGGTCTTATGTCAAGTTCACCCTTCAGAAAATAATCTGTTTCATTTGGCTCCGGGGCAGAACCTTGTAGAAGAGATTAAAGCAAAAATGCCCACAGTTCTAGGATCCAGAACGTCTGTCCAGGGGAGCCAGCTGAGGAGGGAGTCAGGATTAGGTGGTCCTATCCATCCCCAAATCACTTTCCTATTGGTTTCTGCCACCTGGGAAACCTTGGGAAACGAGATGCTCCATTTATCTCAAATTCTGAAAATTGCTTTTTAAAAAATTCTCAAGCAAAATTCATTTCAATGCCTTTTACTTTGCAAAATTCATGCCATGGGTCAAACTTCCGAGAGGCTCTAGAAAAACGTATTAAGACAGCCCCACCCTCATGCCCCTGCCCCACCTCCAGCCAGAGGGGGTGGCATTGCAACTGAAGGAACGTTGGGACCTGCTGATTAATTAAATGTCCCACATCTGTCCTACACCTGGTGGGACCTGGGCGCCCAGTGCCAGTGAGGAGGCAGGTCTTACCTTTCGTTTATGCTTTCTGCTCGGAGGGTGTAGACTCGGTCAATGTGGGAAATGTGGAAGATGGGTTCATCCCCGGAAGGGTCAGTGGGTAATTTTACTAGAACCTCATTTAGGAAAATAGGCTGAAAAATAATGCACAGCCATTACAAAACCAGACTGGGGGCCATGTATTGCAATAAACTATGAGTATGTGTGTGTGCTTACGTGCACGTGTTCTAATAAACTAGACTGAGGGTGAAGGGTGTGTGTGTGTGTGTGTGTGTGTGTGTGTGTGTGTGTGTGTCTGCGGCGGGGGTGGAAGGGTGTTTCAGTAAACTATACCAGAATAATGATTTTGTGTTCATATTGACTTTCAGATACTGCAAATTATAAATATGGATTTCCCCCCTCCGTTTTGCAGGTATTTTTAAAGTCCTCCAGAATAAGAACTGATGGGTCTGTTTTTCTCATAGTATATCCTAGTCAGCAGTTTCCATCAACTCTACCTCCAAGCAATTCTCTCCAAGTTGTTCATACAAAGCTGCTAGTGACAAGCTACATAAGTACATTGTGCTTTTTCCCAAAATAAAGCTAACTGCTGCTTCAGAGAAAATTCTTCTGTGAAAATACCCACACAGAGACAAGTTCAGAAAAACAATATCCCATGACATGAAGACACACAAACACAGCCATGCACGTAGAAGCAGACCAAATAAACAGCTTAGGAAAATTCTCTACACGTTGACTATGTAGACTGGCTTTTGCTGGAAAAAGGTGAGGGGCACAGATGTTCCAAACCATCTTGAGAAGTTTGGAGGGAGATCTGGGAATGTTCAGGAAGTGGGTGCTTGAGTTCTAGTCTCGAACTTTCCCACACCTGCCACACTAGACCGGGAACCCCACCAGGGCAAGGCATATCTTCAACACATCTGGGGGACCCACAGTAGCCACTTGACAGCTAATAGATGTTTCGTCAGTTGATTTGAGCGTCGTTCCTTTTCTGATACTGCTGGACCCGTGATGCTGTGGTCACCCTAAATCCTGTCTCAGCCCCTGCACTTCCTGTATGCCACAGCCTCCAAACCCTGCTGAAATGCTCCTTTTGGAAACTTCCTCCTCCCCCAAACATCAACCCTGATGTTGCAATCTAGAATCAAACTTACGGTTTTGTACATTTTATACTGCAGGTTTGATTTGGGGCTGAAGACTTTGTCGGTGCCCGAAGAGCCCAGGGGCTTTATGATTTGGGTCAGCAGGAGGAAGTCGTTGAAGAGGAAGCCATACAGCTCCTTGTTGCTCTTGGCCTTGTAGAGTTTCCCACTGTGAAGAAACTTGCGTGGCCCCAAGCAGTTGGTCACTGAATTGAACACAAGTTGCTGAGAAAGGAAAACAAAACCCAAAGAAGACAGGATGAAGTGAGGTCATTTTTTTGTTTTGTTTCATTTTGTTTTGTTTTTCTGCATCTGAAAGCATGGGTTCCATCAGAATCTGAAGCCTGTAACTTAGGCTCAAATCAAGGACTGCTTTGAAAACTTCAGGCAGGGACTTTTGGAGCCAAGAAGTCAAAGTCGTGGTTCTGGAGATTCCACGTGTCAAGATGAACTTTGGCTATAATTCCTAATGCTTTTCCTTGAGGTCTGCTCAGTGTCTCAGGGCGACTGGTGCTTTTCTCCCTTGTATTTATTGGGGAAACTGGGCAGCAGGAAGAAAACACTCAGCCCTCTCCCTCCTTAATGGGTATGTGCTGTGTGCAGGCTAGTCCGCCGGAGGTGGCATGAACCAGCTCCAATGATGGCCCTGCACAGGCTCAGACAGTCCTACGCGGTTCTGGAAAGCAGCAGCGACTCTCTCTGTACAGTTCTACAGGACAAATGCTACTTTCCAAGGCGCAGCTTGAGTCCAGGCCCCTACCACATGGGTGGACTACAAAACTCAGTGGTGCTGACAGATGCCTCGAAGCCAAGCAGAACAGACACTCTTGGTGCCCATTATATCTCACCCAATTCACTGGTCCTGAAAATGTGAAGGGGACAGGCAGCTCTCTTTCTTCCACTTCCCAAAACTTGGAGACAGATCTAAGTGCGGAAACGCAGCTCTGTCATCCCCCTGGGCTCTATCATCTCATGCTCTATCATCCCCCCTTGGGCTCTATCATCTCCTGTGAGCAGGTTCTAAAGGGGCAGAGGGAGACTGTAGAAGATATAACCCCACTAAGGCCCCCCTTTTGGATAGCGGGGGAGAGACTGAGGGAGGGGAAGGCCACAGCTGTGCCCAGGAAGTGATACGATCCAGGCAGGAGTCAGAACTTCGGGTCTCCACCTGCCCACACTTGGGCCCCAGGGGTATCCTCCATCCAGCAGCCTTCAAAGCTGAGGCTCTCTCCAGAGCTATGAACCCTACAGACCTCCCTGAGAAGAGTATTAATGAAGAGGTGACAGTTCACAACACACATTCCCCAAGAGATGCTGCTGGCCACCTGCCTGCCTCCAGTGTGGGAGAAAGAATCAGTGGGGCCTCTATGACCAGAGACCTATAGGCAGCAAGGAAGAGTGACCAGTCCACTCTGTTCTCAGGTACAAGGAGGGACGAGGGCCTCTAACCTCCCACTGAGGCTCTGAGGGAGCCCCAAAGACTGAAGGTGACATCACAAAGAGAGCCTTCAAAGGATGTCAATCTAGCCCTTTTTACTCACCAAGAGAGAGTTCAAGCCACTTGGGGGCAATGAATCTAGCAATTCACTTGGATGACATAGAGTTGATGTGGTTTATTCACACTCAAAGGTTAGAGCCTCCAACTGGCCAGGCTAACACTGAACATACGTGAATTGGGAACAGACTTGATAGTTCTTGATCTTAAGACAAGAATGCCAAAGATGGCATTTATTTGAAAATTAATCACTGGTGTGTGTCCAGATCTGGGCCAGGGAACAGAAGCCAACATGCCCCCTCCCCACGATTGTGAACCCTGACTGTACAGACAAAACAGACCATACAGAAAGCTGGTGTACAACAGCCAGGCAGGATCGATCACTAAAGAAGGACAACAGTCTATTTCAAAGAGGGTATATACATCCCAAAAAAGCAAATGACAAGAGTTTATTTTATTCTTAATGTTTTGAGGGTTTTTTTATTGCTGTGCCATGTGGCATGCAGGATCTTAGTCCTCTGAGCCCATGCCCCTGCAGTGGAAGTGTGGAGTCCTAACCACTGGACCACCAGGGAATTCCCTATTCTTAATGTTCTAAGATGAAGACCCAGGCCTCACTGAGTCCCGTGACTGCAGCCCTGACTCAGGGAAGGACCCCTTTAAAAGTGCACAGTGAGGGGAATTCCCCAGCAGTCCATTGGTTAGGACTCTGTACTTTCACTGCTGGGGCTGGGTTCGATCCCTGGTCAGGGAACTAAGATCCTGCAAGCCACGTGGTGTGGAAAAAGAAAGAAAGAAAGAAAGAAAGAAAGGAAGGAAGGGAGGGAGGGAGGGAGGGAGGGAGAGAGAGAGAGAGAGAGAAGAGAGAGAAAGAAAGAAAGAAAGAAAGAAAGAAAGAAAGAAAGAAAGAAAGAAAGAAAGAAAGAAAGAGAAGGAAGGAAGGAAGGAAGGAAGAAAAAAGATAGGGAACATTGAAAAAAATAAGAAAAAGTGCACAGTTGCACTTCAGGCTGGCAGATTCAGGAGCTGTTCAAGTCCACTGTCTTCAGGATCAAGTTAATGCTCCTTGGAATGATACACAGCCCTTCCTTGCCCTGGCTTCAACTTGCCTTAAAGCTTATCACCTGTCACCCTACATTGCTTACCCAAGTCCTGCACAGGCTGTGCCCTCCACTGAAATGCCCTCCCCCTGGATTCTTTCCTGGAGAGGTATCTTCATCCTTCAACACCCAGCCGAGTGTCACCTTCTCCAACATGTCCCTGAATCCCTCCATGATGGTTCCTTCCTCCATGAGTGTCCAACAGCACTTGGCACCTAGATCTGCCTCATAACGTCTCACACTGTGTGGTAAATACTGGTTTGATCCCTCTACTTGGTCCAGGACTGTAGGCTTCTTGAGATGGCGTAGGTCACATCTTATTGATTTCCATGTCCTCAGTGTTTAGTACTGAACAAGGCACATGGGCAGTAAATGTTTATTGAATGAATGAATGAATAAGTAAGCCAACCAACCAGTGAATGCCCCTGGATTGCTTATCAACACAGTTCCAAAATGGGAACCCACATCCATCACCTTGGTTTCCACATGGCTGCTTCCATAACTTTGGTTATCCCACACCTTCACAGAAGGGGGACAGGAGGTAGGGCAGGGAGGAAGCAGTGGTGTAACTTCCTCAGGTAGTTAATGCCTTTGAAGCTTGTAAGAAGGAAGGAGCCACAGGAAGAGTGGGTGAGGGAGACAGTCTGCCTGGGCATTTTGGTAAACCCTAGTCAACGGTGTGTGTGCATGAATGTGTGTATGTATGTGTGTATCTGTGTGTGTGTACAGAGGCAAAGAGAAAGAGAGTGAGAACAGGCAGAAAGAATGAATGAGACTAAAGTAAAGATAAGGGACAAGAAGAGAATCAAATACTACAGGAGAGACTCTGTTTCTGGTAGTATGGTGGACTAGAGACTCTGACTCACCCAGTGAAAAATTTCAAAACCAAATAAAATATAGAACTGTAGTTTTTAAATGCAAGTAAGGTGGTAAAAATTAAAAATGAAAATAAGAAATTTGAAGAGGTCAAAAACAGCATGAAAATGTGAACCCTGGAAGATAAACAAGTCCCTAAGCTGGCTTTAGCCCTGAGAGTCTTTCTTAAATCTGGTGACCTTAAGCTTCCATTTTAAAGGCTATGGAGGGTGCAAGAGACAGGAGATATATCCAGGGCCCACATGAGATAACAGGAGATCCCAAAACGCTGGACTCCAAAGGAAGAATGACAAGTAAACTCAGCACAGAAGGGATGACAAAGAAAACTTGCTTGTTTTTGAACTTGGTGTAAGTGGAGGGAAAAAAAAATGTCCCTGAGAATTTGTAACCACAATGCAGTTCTCATTTAAGTTTACAACCACAATTCACACACTAGTGTGATCTGAAAACCCCTCTATATCTAATTTAGGGTGATCCTGGTAGCTAGCAACACTTGCAGGAGGAATACAACTTCAGACCTCAAAGATCCCACAGATAAAGTTCCAAGGAATGTTGAGCTCACAATCAAAAATCAAAGTACATACAGAGAAACAGACATGTGTGGTGAGAGCTAGCAGAAGCAACAGACAAAACAGTGAAACTCATAACCTGAGTTAATGGAATAATCAGATCTGAAATATACAAGAATATATTTTAAATGTGTTAGGAAACAAATGAGAAGCATGGTCATTTGTGAAAGGACCAAGACAAGAAAGAAACCAGCAGATTAGAGAAAATAACTAGAATGCTGGAAAGGGTAAAAGAAAATAATTGAAATTTAAAAAAACTCAGTAGATGGATTAAACAGCAGATTAGAAGAAGCTGGAGAGAGAATTAGCAAACTGGAGGCCAATGGGGAGGACAATTCATGTTCTTTTCTCATCCTCCTTCAGGCCAGCTGCCAAGGCTCAGTGGGGGAGACCCAGGTTACACCCTAAGGCGCTACCTCAGACAGGCCTTCACACTGCACATGGGCCTGGATCCACTCCAGCCGGTCCGAGTTCTCCTTCTCCCGCACCCCTTCGTTCACCTGGGAGCACAGCTCCTCTGCCTTCTCCAGGGCATGCTTCAAATGGCTGTGGTCTGGGTGGTTTTCAGGAGTGTTTTCCAGGATCTACATTGGAGAACAGAAGACAACATCCTTAGACAGTGTGGATGAGCCTGCGGTTCACTGTTCTGGAGGGCCAGACCCAACAGAGGCAGGGCATAGCACAGACCTTTCCTGAACAGTGCCCACAAGAGCAACTGAAGCTCTAAGCACGCACCTTGGCAATGACATGGAGAGAGATGACCACTCTTTGTTGGCAGGGGACCCTTGGGGGGCAGGGGCTGCCACATTATCTATACTTGGAGTATGAGGAGGGCAGTGGCTACAGCAAGGGCAATATTGCACCACATGTGGCTTTCTCCCTGGAGAATGGCTCTTTCCTGGGTCCATGCACAGCTGTAGGCATCTATGGACCCATGGAGCTACATGCTAATGGGTGCATCTGAGCAAAGGCATTTTTCTGGATAAATTATTCCAAGCCAGTGGTTAAAAGTGCCAGCTCTAGAGCAAGACCTCCTGGGTTAAAATCCCTGCCCTGCCATTGACCAGCCATGATATGGGTCAGTCACATAAATATTCTGAGCCTCATTTTCCTAATATGAAAAATGGTAATACTAATAGCACCTCCTTCGTAAGGTTGTTTGGAGGACTAAATGGCTTGATACAAGTAAAGCACTTTGCAAAGTACCTGGCCCTTTAAAGGTGCTCAGTAAGTGACAGCAGTTACCATCAGATTCTCAAAGGACTTTGAGGACATTGAGAACAGTCATCCTGAGGAAAGACACTAAGAATGAAGAAAGGTCCTAAGCTATCTTTGCAATGTACTAGGATTATGTTGAGGGTGTACTTGCCCAGGCCTTGTCCATATACAAATAAGTCAAGTGGGCTTTACCCTGAATAATATCTCATCCCTAGGGTATACTTTGGTTTAAAGTCCTAAGGAGGCACCCAATTTGAGGAAAACACCCAATCTGGGTCCTGTGTGTCCACCAATCATCTCCAAACAACAACCCCAGCCCCGGATGGATCCTGGGTGTACATTAGAGTCCCTCTGAAAAGTCCTGATGCCTCAACTCTGACCATATCAGAATCCCCAGGGGTGGGACTCAAGCATCAGAATTTTCTAGAGCTCCCTGGGTGATTCTAACATACAGCCAAGACTGAGGACAACTGCTCTCGACAGGAAGCCCACATAGCTGAATTGTGTGAATTCTTTTTTGTTTGTTTTTTGTTTTTCAAAATGAAAATAGGTTTATGTTTTTTCTCATTGTAAAATTATTATTGTATAAAATTTAGAAAATTTAGAAAGTTATAAAAAAACCTAAAAACCACCCATAATTGCACCATCTGGAAATAACCTCTGCCTATCCGTTAATACACTCTGCGTAGATATAAATACATATAGTTAAAAAAAATAAACATTGGATCATGCTACCATATTACACTGTACCATTTTGTACTTGCTTCTTTCCCACTTCACGTCAGTTATAGCACAGTATTTAGTGTCCACTTTATATGGACCTAGATCATCATTTTATTATTTTTTAATTGAAGTATATAGAGCATCATTTTTAAAGATTCTATAATATGTCATTGTAAGGATGAACCACAATGCATTTAAACAGTTTCCTTCCCATAAAACTTCATGTTTCCAATTTTTCAATATTTCTCTGATTATTTCTTTAGAATAAATTCCTAGAGATGGTAGTGCTGAGCCAAAGAGAGCATGGAGTTTGATGTATACATCGCCCTCCAAAAGGCTGAACCAGTCCACCTTCCACAAGCAATCTTGCCCACACTGAGGACTCACAATCTTTTCAATATATGCCTACCTGGAAAGCCAAAAGCAGGTATTTTCTTGTTTGGTTATACATTTCTTTTATTACCAGAGAATTTGAATTTTGTGTACACTTAGTATGTAAGTACACTAAATGATAAAGCTAACATTTATATACGGCTTAGTAGGAGCCAGACATACATATATTCACTCAGTTGATTTCTCACAACCCTATGCAGTAGGTACTATTAGCATACCTATTTTACATATAAGGGAACTGAGGCCCAGAAAAGTTAAGTAACTTGCCCAAGGGCACACAGGAGTGGTACCAAGATTCAAATACAAGCAGCCTGGTCCCTGACATCATTTTTTTAAATTATTTTTTTAACATCTTTATTGAGGTATAATTGCTTTACAATGTTGTGTTAGCTTCTGCTGTATAACAAAGTGAAGCAGCTATACATATACATATATCCCCAAATCTTCTCTCTCTTGCGTCTCCCTCTCACCCTCCTTATCCCACCTTCTAGGTGGACACAAAACACCGAGCTGATATCCCTGTGCTATGCTGCTGCTTCCCACTAGCTACCTATTTTACATTTGGTAGTGTATATATGTCCATGCCACTCTCTCACTTCGTCCCAGCTTACCCTTCCCACTCCCTGCGTCCTCAGGTCCATTCTTGACATCTGTATATCAATTTACATTCCCACCAACAGTGTAAGAGGGTTCCCTTTTCTCCATGCCCTCTCCAGCATTTATTGTTTGTAGATTTTTTGATGATAGCCATTCTGACCGGTGTGAGGTGATACCACATTGTAGTTTTGATTTGCATTTCTCTAATGATTAGTGATGTTGAGCATCCTTTCATGTGTCTGTTGGCAATCTGTACGTCTTCTTTGGAGAAATGTCTATTTAGGTCTTCTACACATTTTTGGTTTTGGTTGTTGTTGTGTGTTTTTGTTTTTTTTGAATTTTATTTATTTTTGTATACAGCAGGTTCTTATTAGTCATCAATTTTATATACATCAGTGTATACATGTCAATCCCAATCACCCAATTCATCACACCATCACCACCACACCTCCGCCTCTTTCCCCCCTTGGTGTCCATATGTTTGTTCTCTACATCTGTGTCTCAATTTCTGCCCTGCAAACCAGTTCATCTGTACCATTTTCCTAGGTTACACATACATGCATTAATATACGATTTTTTTCTCTTTCTGACTTACTTCACTCTGTATGACTCTCTCTAGATCCACCCACATCTCGACAAACGACCCAATTTCATTACTTTTTATGGCTAAGTAATATTCCACTGTATATATGTACCACATCTTCTTTATCCATTCGTCTGTCGATGGGCAATTAGTTTGCTTCCCTGACCTGACTATTGTAAATAGTGCTGCAATGAACATTGGGGTGCATGTGTCTTTTTGAATTATGGTTTTCTCTGGGTATATGCCCAGTAGTGGGATTGTTGGGTCATATGGTAATTCTATTTTTAGTTTTTTAAGGAACCTCCATACTGTTCTCTATAGTGGCTGTATCAATTTACATTCCCACCAACAGTGCAAGAGGGTTCCCTTTTCTCCACACCCTCTCCAGCATTTGTTGTTCATAGATTTTCTGATGATGCCCTTTCTAACTGGTGTGAGGTGATACCTCATTGTAGTTTTCATTTGCATTTCTCTAATTATTAGTGATATTGAGCAGCTTTCCATGTGCTTCTTGGCCATGTGTATGTCTTCTTTGGAGAAATGTCTATTTAGGTCTTCTGCCCATTTTTGGATTTGGTTGATTGTTTTTTAATATTGAGCTGCATTAGTTATTTATATATTTTGGACATTAATCCTTTGTCCATTGATTCATTTGCAAATAACTTCTCCCATTCTGAGGGTTGTCTTTTCATCTTATTTATGGTTTCCTTTGCTGTGCAAAAGCTCTGAAGTTTCATTAGGTCCCATTTGTTTATTTTTGCCTTTATTTCCATTACTCTAGGAGGTGGATCAAAAAAGATATTGCTGTGATTTATGTCAAAGAGTGTTCTTCCTATGCTTTCCTCTAAGAGTTTTATAGTGTCTGGTCTTACATTTAGGTCTTTAATCCATTTTGAGTTTATTTTTGTGTATGGTGTTAGGGCGTGTTCTGATTTCATTCTTTTACATGTAGCTGTCCATTTTCCCAGCACCACTTATTGAAGAGACTGTCTTTTCTCCATTGTATATCTTTGCCTCCTTTGTCATAGATTAGCTGACCATAGGTGCATGGGTTTATCTCTGGGCTTTCTATCTTGTTCCATTGATCTATATTTCTGTTTTTGTGCCAGTACCATATTGTGTTGATTACTGTAGCTTTGTAGTATAGTCTAAAGTCATGGAGTCTGATTCCTCCAGCTCCACTTTTTTCCCTCAAGGCTGCTTTGGCTATTCGGGGTCTGTTGTGTCTCCATACAAATTTTAAGATTTTTTGTTCTAGTTCTGTAAACAATGCCAATGGTAATTTGATAGGGATTGCATTGAATCTGTAGATTGCTTTGGGTAGTATAGTCATTTTCACAATAAAGATTCTTCCAATCCAAGAACATGGTATATCTCTCCATCTGTTGGTATCATATTTAATTTCTTTCATCAGTGTCTTACAGTTTTCTTCATACAGGTCTTTTGTCTCCCTAGGTAGGTTTATTCCTAGGTATTTTATTCTCTTTGTTGCAATGGTAAATGGGAGTGTTTCCTTAATTTCTATTTCAGAGTCTTCATCATTAGTGTATAGGAATGCCAGAGATTTCTGTGCATTAATTTTGTATCCTGCTACTTTACCAAATTCATTGATTAGCTCTAGTTCTTTTCTGATAGCTTCTTTAGGATTCTGTATGTATAGTATCATGTCATCTGCAAACAGTGACAGTTATACTTTTTCTTTTCCAATTTGGATTCCTTTTATTTCTTTTTTTTTTCTCTGATTGCTGTGGCTAAAACTTCCAAAACTATGTTGAATAAAAGTGGTGAGAGTGGGCAACCTTGTCTTGTTCCTGATCTTACTGGAAATGGTTTCAGTTTTTCACTATTGAGAACAATGTTGGCTGTGGGTTTGTCATATATGACCTTTATTACGTCGAGATAAGTTCCCTCTGTGCCTACTTCCTGGAGGGTTTTTATCATAAATGGGTGCTGAATTTTGTCAAAAGCTTTTTCTGCATCTATTGAAATGACCATGTGGTTTTTCTCCTTCAGTTTGTTAATATTGTGTATCACATTGATTGATTTGTATAATTGAAGAACGCTTGCATT